AAAATTCAACTACGAGCTTTTTAACTGCAACAACTTTAATATACGCTATTGGAGCTGGAATTACCGCGGCTGCTGGCACCAGACTTGCCCTCCAATTGGTTCTCGTTAAGAGATTTAAATTGTACTCATTCCAATTACAAGACTTAAAAAGCCCTGTATTGTTATTTATTGTCACTACCTCCCTGTGTCAGGATTGGGTAATTTGCGCGCCTGCTGCCTTCCTTGGATGTGGTAGCCGTTTCTCAGGCTCCCTCTCCGGAATCGAACCCTAATTCTCCGTTACCCGTAAAAACCATGGTAGGCCTCTATCCTACCATCGAAAGTTGATAGGGCAGAAATTTGAATGACATATCGTCGCCGAAGCATACGATTCGATTGGTTATCATGATTCACCAAGTAACGAGTTACCCCGATTGGTTTTTTATCTAATAAACACACCCCTTCCAGAAGTCGGGGCTTAACGCATGTATTAGCTCTAGAATTACCACGGTTATCCAAGTAGTAAAGTCATTATCAAATAAACTATAACTGATTTAATGAGCCATTCGCAGTTTCACAGTAAAAATTATTTATACTTAGACATGCATGGCTTAATCTTTGAGACAAGCATATGACTACTGGCAGGATCAACCAGGTTGCTATCATAGGGAACTTAAGGTAATTCATTAGGGTCTTTCAATAAAAAAAGTAAACTTTTCCTATGTTACTTAACCTTAACTTCATAACTAAAGTCCATAATAACTTTTTTTTAAACAAAAGGGTCAAGTAATAAAACTTAACTGAATACTTTTCTAAAAGGTTGTTATACCTCTATACTAAGTACCAATCGTTCAAAATGTTTTTTCCATAATCATTAAACAAATCTTGATTGCTATTGAAATCAAACAAAAAGTTTGACTTGGAACCTTAACGAATTAAGGAATAAGTTAATCAATAACTAATCATAACCCACCGAATGATTACTTCTATCCATTTCATAGTACTAAAATTTCCTTTCAATAACTTTCGAATCCATTACTATCAATAATAAAATCAATAAATAATTTCTCTAGGTTATGATCGGTGAAAGTTAAAAAATAGATACATTCAATAAGAAATATAAAATATTTCAAATTTACTAAGTAAATACTTCCTTACTTCCAATTGGATTCAGTATAATGTTACCCTAAGGTATCAATCTACCTTTACCAACTATGCATAATAATTAAATAAATAATATCATGACTTTCCAACAGTTAAACCCTTACTTTTAAAAATCTTTACCTTTAACAGTATTAACTTTTATACATAAGAATTACACGTCTCAAACCAAATCAAAAAGTCTCAAACTATTCATCATAGAAAAAAGAAATTCCAAGTACTATCATATTCACCCCCCAGCCGTTGATCATAAGTATCAGGTAAATCATTGCAATGTAACAAATATCGTAATACCGTACAAAGGTTGAATAAACCCGGGGTTAATGATCCCAAAAGTCAATCCAGGTGTTATTTAGAACTAAATCCAATAAGCTATCCCAGATCTATTTTTATCTTTTATTTTTAGGTTAGATAAAAAAAGAAACCTATGAATACAATAGTAAATCTCATAACCCAGTTCTAATCAAAATAGGATTTAACCCCTAATAAGATCATTGAACGCAATTCTTTTGAAAGTACTTACTACTAAGAATAGATCATTTTCAAATTACTTTAACCTAGGTTCACTTAAAATAAAATTAATTGTATAAAAATAATAGTCAAACCATTATACCATACATCAATGATATCATAAAGTTTATCATATCTATAGTCAAAGTAAAATCATCATATCATTATTAGTATTTCAATACATTCAATCATTAATCAACGTTCATCTCTAATTAACTGGATATCAACATAAAATTAATAAATTAATTAAACGTTACTGTACTTTAGTTCAAAATAACCTAAGCTATTCATCACCTCCATACGCCTATAAAGCTTTCTGGCCCTAATTACTAGACACACCGTGGTTAATCAAAACCCAACCTGATAAATCAAATTGAATCAATCTCTGACAGTGACCTTTCACTAAGGTAATAGAACATTACTAAACTCACCATGGTTAATCAAAACCCAACCTGATAAATCAAATTGAATCAATCTCTGACAGTGACCTTTCACGAACTATTAATACCTATTACTAGACTCTAAACCTATTACTAAAACCAATAAATTGATTCTTTCAAACAGTAAAGACCGTTCACGACATATCCTTCCCACTTTATAGCTAGAATACCTATTACTGGACCCTTTACCTATTACTAAAACCAATAAATTGATTCTTTCAAACAGTAAAGACCGTTCACGACATATTCCATAGTGTTAACAAGAGATTACTTCGAAAAGAAATAACCTTCAATATTTACGTACCAAACAGAATGAAGTCAAAAACAAATATATAAATAATCATAACCTCATCAATCAAATCAATACGATAATATAGAAATTATATTACCAATACAAATAAGATTAAATCAAATTACTGAAGATTATTTCAAAATCTTTTTCACAATTCAATTCGGTTTCCCTTCAAAAGAGAGTGTCGAGTACGATCTATAGTATATCAAACAATTGTCACTAACCGTTAACTGATAATTTTTACAATAAAATACCATCCGAATAATTGAATTCAGTATAAATACTAAAAACAAGAATCTAAAACGAATATTAAATTCAAAAAAACAGTACGTAAGATTAAAACAATCTAATACCATAGACCTCAAAAGAAAGTTCCGTATACTTTAAATGCAATCATCTATTAACCAATCAATAAATCAATCAGTATTAAAATGATATTATTCATTTCACTTTCCATTTCTTTCTTCCTCTACACTAATATTTTAGTGATTTTTTACGAGGGTGCTGGTTCCGGATGACATATTTTGACATTTTTTAAGAGGTACTTTTCTTAGGGAGTCAAACATAGGGGCTCATGACGAGCTCCTATGTTTTTCGACACTTTTATTTTTAACTTTGAAAACAAAATGTCTCATTAAGTCTTTTTCAAAATCAACTAAATTAAACTTTTAAGCGAAAGAATTTTTGAAAACAATAATAAATGATATATCAATAGATGGCGGTAATTTTTTTACATCGTTTAATATATGCATAATTGTATGTTTCAATATAAATTTGAAACGTTATTCTTGTTTTAATGATTTTGAAAATAAAATTATTTGAAGTACGAATTCAAAAATTAAAGAAATGATTATCATTCAACAGATACTTAACCGATTTGAATGATTAAAATGGCAATGAGTTCGTATTTACATGACAATTCTAACAAGCTATCAAACATTGTAATATGTGGCTTTTAAAGGGTACTTGTTTCAGCTATTCCTTAATTTGACGTTTGACAGGTTAATTTGACAACGTCAAACGTCATAGATTATTGGAAACACTTTTAACAGTTAAAACAAGCAAGGGAAAAATTTCTATTAAAGTTTCAGCCTCATCGGACAATTATTCATAATGTTATTAACGTTTTAGACCAAAAAAAAAATAATTCAAAAGTTTGATAGAATATTGAAGACGCTACTGAAATGATAAACACTTCAACTCTTTTTTAATCTCTTTAAATATAATAAAATTATATTCATGTTAAATTTCATTTGTTTCGGACAACTTTTAATATATTAAAAACCATTCCAAAGTTAAATATTAAAGTTCAAATGAATATTATTCAAACAAATTATATGATATATACCTTATTTTTTTTGCGCAGTCTTTAATAATAATATAATTAAATATTCATGTAAAATTTCATTTATTAAAATTGATGGGAAGTTGTACAAACGAATAAATTAAGTGAAATTTTAACAAAAATTAAACTTTGAAGGGTTAAATGAACAAGAAATAATTTAGTTACAACAATAAAAGTGTGACCAATCGATTCAGCGAAAAAAACTGTACAAATGACATTTTATGTGATTTTCAAATACTTTATTCTGTCTCGATTTGAGTATTATATACGTAACATGAAAACTACAAATCTATGATTTCTACAAAAATGATCAAAAAAAAAAATTATATATTAATCGAAAGTAGAGAATCAGGGGATTCTAAAACACTTTACCATTTTGTTCTATCATTAAAACTCTTAATGTTATTAACGTTTTAAGGTACCAATTATGCTCCTATATGCTCACCTATGTTAAGTATAGGCAATTTGGGAGAAATATTACCCGTCCTTATGGTCGAGTGGTTAGGGCGCGAGTCTTATATCACTATGGTGCTGGGTTCGATTCCCAGTGAGGTCAAGTTTGTTATTTAAACTGATCTCCCGTGAAATGCATGGGGTTTTGTCCCTAGGTAATTTCAGTAAAACCTACCGGTTTTGCAGTACTAAAATACCATTTTTATGGTATGGTACTATAGGGACTTGTTTGGTAAAAAAAATTACAAGTTTTTTGCCAAAATTTATCGTCCCAAAAATAAAAAATAAAGTTTCGAAAATGAGGTTCTTTTTTGATTTAGAGGTCGTTTAGAGGTAGTTGTATTATACTGTGTTGTTTTGAAAAATTTACTACATAAACTAGTAATACTTTTTAGTATGAAATGTAGGGAATTTTTATAGGATTCCTATGATATTAATTAAAATGTCTAGGTATTAGTATAAGGTATTGTTTTTATTGAAAATATGTTTTGTCCTATGTAATTCATAGGGATGGGTAGTTTAACATAGGGAGACTATATAGGTAAATTGAAAAAAAGTATTATGATAATTTTTTTTATTGTTTATATTGTTTGATATGATCATAAGGATTATAAAAGTAATATGGTTTTATTAGATATGTACGTAAAGTATAGAGTTATATATGGTTTTGTATATTGTTATTTTTACCTAAGTTATTTATATAGGAATGGGTAGTTTAACATAGGGAGACTATATAGGTAAAATGATAAAAAA